AAACAGCCAGACAGAATACTTATAGTTTATTCCTACCATGGACAATATTTAGCAGAAATTTTTTTCCGTCTTTTTTTTTAACCACTAAACACAGTACGAAATACATTTTACACTGTGAAACAGAAGTGGCAGATTGTACTTTTCAAAGAGGCCTGAATAATATCTCCTTTCATATGTGCCCTGTATACAATCCTTTGTGACAATGTGACCTTGACAATCTCTTGAGTGACAAAGCCTCTGACCCCTTCCCTTGAACCCAGACAATCTTTGTGACTGGCTTGACCAATAGAATACAGCAGAAATGATGTCATGTGACTTCTGCGACTCGGTCATAAAAATGCCATGCTCTTCAGCCTGGTTCACTTGGGCCCCTGCTGCCACATTGTAAGGAAGCTCAAACTGGCCCATGAAGAGAGACCACTGTATAGATGTTCCAGCTAATAATTCAGCTGAGTCTCTAGCCAGAATCAATCATGAGACACGAAGGAATAAAGATGCCTTCTGATGATGCTAGCCACCAGGTGTTAAGTCACTCAGCTCTCCATTCTTCCCATGGGGGCTGCAGACAGCATGAAGCAGAGACATGCCATCCCCACTGTGCCCGGCCCAAATTCCTCATCTACACACTTAATGAGCATAATAAAATGGTTGCTTGGGGAAGGTTTGTGAGCATCAGTTGCAACTCTATCACCAGCATACCCCTACATGTATATGTGACAGAAATGAAAGTTTTACCAAACAATACTTACCCTTACTATATGATATACTCTGATACTTAAATTTTATTCTATCTTTTTCATTGATAGTAACTGCTCTACACCTACGTTCACAGGAACATTATTCACAATAGCCAAAAGGTGGAAGCAGCCCAAACATCTCAGGGGATGAATGGATAAACTAAATACGGTAAATACTTAGGATGGAATATTATTCAGCCTTTAAAAAGGAAGTAAATTCTGACCTGTGCTACAACGTGGATGAACCTTGAGGACATTATGCTGAGTGAAATCAGCCATTCCACAAAGGGACAAATACTGTTTTATTTCACTTATATGAGGTCCCAAAAGTAGACAAATTCACAGGGACAGAAAGTAGAACAGTCATTACCAGGGAGAAGGGGGAGTTAAGTGTTTAATGGGGACAGAGATTCCATTCTGTAAGATGACGAAGTCCTGGAGACGGATGGTGGTGATGTGAATGTGCTCAATGCCGCTAAGCAGCAGACTTAAAAATGGTTACTGTGGTAAACTTTATGCGTATTATGTCACAATTTTTAAAAAATAAATTTTAAAGATTTTAAATTCCTAAGGTTTATGAACCATTCTTCCCTTAATTGTAAACCCGAAAGTAAATAAATAAATAAATGCTGGTTAAAAAGCACCTCACTGACTTCCTGAATCAATAATGGGCCCCATGAATACTCTACCCTACAAGGCTCTCATTCAGGTTTGATGGAGAAATCAAAATCTTCACAGATAAACAAAAGCTAGAAGAATTCAGCATCACCAGACCAGCTTTACAACAAATGTTAAGGGAACTTCTCTAATCAAACCACAAGAAAAGAGATACATGCACCCCAATGTTCATAGCAGCACTACTGACAAAAGCCAAGACATGGAAGCAACCTAAATGTCCATTGACAGATGACCAGATAAAGAAATTGTGGTATACTTATACAATGGAATATTATTCAGTCATAAAAAAGAATACAATACTGCCCTTTGCAGCAACATAGATAGACCTGGAGACTGTCATTCTAAGCGAAGTAAGCCAGAAAGAGAAAGAAAAATACCACATGATATTACTGACATGTGGAATCTTAAAAAAAAAAAGACACAAATGAATTTATTTACAAAACAGAGATAGACTCTGTTGGTGGTGGGGGGAGCGGGTGCAGAGGGATAAATTGGGATTTTGGGATTTGCAGATACTAACAACTATATATAAAATAGATAAACAATAAGGACCTACTGTATAGCACAGGGAACTATATTCAATATCTTGCAGTAACCTCTAATGAGAAAGAAAATTAAAAGAAATATTTGTATGTAAAAATGAATCACTTTGCTGTACATCAAAAACTAACAGTGTATACCGACTATACTTCAATTTAATTAATTAATTAATTAATTAAAAAAAATAATGCATCCTGTGACTTGGAATGTGAAAAACCTAGCTACACTGTATGTTCAATAAATCTACAGGGATCCACCTTCCCAGGAATATCTGGAAACCAAGAGGTTGAGAGAGAAAAGTTGCAAACTCATACACTCAGGATACCATTTACATAAACTATTTAAAAATAGATATATTGATACTGTTTCCAGACTCCAGATAAGACGGGAATGCAGAAAGACTAGTCTTGGAAGAACAAGCTAATTTCAAAATAACTGTTACTCCTGAGAAGGATGGAGGGCAAGGGGGAGGGAAAGGGGTGGTACCTGCTGGTGGAGGCCTTACTGTCACTGGAGGCTTTCATAATAGAGCCCAATTTTTATTAGAAGGAATTAAATATATATATGTATATATTTATCTGAGGCAGTTCAGCCAAAGTGTGACTATTTGTTAAATCCAGATGATGACACAATGACTGTACCCTTCTGTCCTTCTGAAATAATTCACTAACACTGTAAATGAGAGTATATAAAGCAGTTCTCTAGGTTATATACAAAACTACCACCAGTGGGGGTTGAGGGGCACAGACAGGGAAGCGGAGGATGGGAGGGAGAGAGGAGTAAGACTCCTCTCTATAATCCTTTCTGTTGCTTGTATTTTCATCTTTTAAGTTGTGAAATACAATAAATCTACAGGAAAGTGTGCAACCCACACATAGACAGTTACAGACAACTGAACGAATCATTATAACTCAGCCATTGCTGAAGCCCAGATCAAGAAATAACATTGAATGGAGTCCACTTAGAGAAAAGCTAATCGAATGGAAATGCCCAGCTCAATGACCTGTCACAAAGCAAACCCCTCCCACCCTCTGCCATGTGACCACCATCCAGATGCCCCCTCATCCCCACCAGAGGTATCTTATCCTGACTCCTAGAATGATCACTGCTTGGTTTTTCTTTATCGTTTACCCCTTAAGGCGTGCATCCAGAATGACACCAGGATTTTTCGACTTTGTATGAAAAGGACAATTTGTGTAAACCTTACACAAGGAAAAATGTTCCTTTATGAAAAGGAATCATTTGAGTCCTGCTTCCTTTGCTGCATAAGAAGTCTGTGAGGATCATCCACATTGTTGTGATCCGCAGTGAATGCTCTTGCAATCCCGTGTAGTATTCTGTTGGCTGAAACATCAAAATTTAGGTATCCAGTCTACTGCAGATGGACTCTGGGGTGGGTTGTTTCCAGCCTGAGACTAATTTGTATGAGATATATGGTATTGCTGTGAACTGTGAACATTCTCATCCAGGTTTCCTGGTTCACTGAACAAATTGCAAGGGGTTTTTTTAGGGGGATGGGGTGATAAAATATACATGACATAAAATTTACCATTTTAATCATTTTTAACTGTACTGTTCAGTGGCATTAAGCACATTCACAATGTTGTGCAATCATCACCATCCATCTTCAGAATGTTTTCATCATCCCAAACAGAAACTGTACCTATTAAGCAAAAACTCTTATTCCCCATGTCCCTGCCCCTCCAACCACTCTATGAATTTGACTACTCTAGGGGCCTCATATAAGTGGAATCATATAATCTATGTCCTTTTCTGACTGCCTTATTTCACTCAGCATAATGTCTTTCAAGTTCATCCATGCTGTAGCATGAGTCAGAATTTCCTTCTTTTTTAAAGTGGAAATCCTTTTTAAAAAATAATGTTTAATTTCTGCATAACGATCAAACATTTTAAGATACAAAAAATTAAATTAAAAGGCATAAAGTAAATATTTACAGTAGAATTTAAAATAAAATTTCTACATAAATATCTCCAATAAGTTACAAATTTAAATGTTTTAAACAGAAATATAAACATTTAAACGTTAAAGTTTTAAATAATTATTCAAAATTAAAATGTTAATAAAGATATTAAAATTAAACCTAAAAGCATAAAATGTTATGAACAATACTTAAACAAATGTTTAAATATTTAAATACTTTACCGTTTTAAACAGATTTAGAATATTTAAATTAAAATATAAATACGTACGACAAAAAAATTGAAATGTTACGTGAAGGTTTTAAATAAATTTTTAAATTATTGTTCAAATTTCAAACACTTAAATTTTAAACTAAAAACTAAACGCTATTTTTAAAATATAAATTAAAGAGACGATTTTAATAAATTAACTGGTACAATAAATTTAAAATTATACGTGAAGACGTGTAAAAACTACACTACGCCGCGTCTTCTCCCTGCCTGGCACTGAGACAGCCGGGAAGCCCCTCGCGGGCCCAGGTCCCCAGCAGCCCTCAGCGCAGGCAGCGCCTTGGCCAGCCCGGCCAGCCCGCAAGGACC